ACTGCGGCTGCAGAGACCCGAGTGGGAGGGCCGGGGAGGAGGGGACGCGGTTGCCTTGCGCCCAACAGGTAAGAGCGACCCCGACAGCGAGCTGGATTTCGGTTTAGGGGTGAGAGGCCCAGGGTAAGGGGATCTGCATTTTCTGTAAGGTTTTCCTAAGGGATTTCTCGGGCCGGTCTTCCACCTTTGAGTCCCGGGATGGCTGCCTTGGGGTACCTAGAAAGAACGCGGGGACGCCCAAGGGCAATGGTTGCGGCGTTAGGGGCTCTCCATACTGAGAACCGGGATCCCGGGGAAACCTCTCAACGCCCGGCACTGCTGGGATTAGCTTCGGATCAATTAGGGAGAAAAAAAAATGTAAATATCGCAATTTCAACCTCTCCCCCCTCTCCGGTCCAGGTGAGCGGGGATCCACACCCAGAGGAGGGCCTGGGGGTGAGGAAATGGACGCCCCTCGTCACATTCTCAAGTCTATTTGTCTTCTTTATCAAAAAGATGTTGAAGACCTTCAGAGGGTTCATAAGGCCAAACCCCTACTGCGCAAATATTGGCAGAAATGTTTGTTTCATACACATCTTCCACGCCCATTGAACCACCCTATAAATTTTTAACCTTGACCACAAGGATAAGCGGGAGACGAGGATGGTGCCAGCTCTGCAGTACAGAATGGGCACTTCGTGATGAGAAGAGGCTTCAGCCTAGTTGCAGAGCCTGTTACTCGGTTTCTTCGCTGTATTAGTCTTGCCACAAGCAAAAGCTCCCTAAAGTTGTTTTGGGTTTGGTGTTTTTTTGTTTTTTTAAGGTGACCTATAAACAGTCAGGATATTCCTGCCTTGCCCAGCTGGCATCAAAGACCCACAAAGGTGACGACTGTCACTGAACTTATTACTGTCGTATTTTCCCACTCCAGCCCTGGGCCTTTCGAGGTTCCCACCTCCTTTTCTACGCCGGGGACCCCCTCAGCCTCCACGTCTCAGGCACTGCAGGGTGCTCTTAGGGAGACGCAGTAGTCAAGGCGCTGGGCATGCTCAATGCACAAAACTATCTGGCTTGGGAGGGAGGGAGGAAGGGGGGGTGTTGGTTGGGGGGGAGCGTTCCTTAGCCTAATGCCGAGCGAGGGGGTAGGGCGAATTTCCTGGAGCCGCCTGATGATTGGCCGGGCGGCTTGTCTTTCACATCCTGCACAGCAGCGGTGGAGGAGACGATGAGGGTACCCACATAGGTTGCAAATCATACTAAGGGGAAAAAATAAAACAGGCGCCATTCAGCGGGTTGCGGTACGGGGGTTGGGGTATCCCGCATCTGCAGAAGGCCGTCTCCCCACGCAGTCTGCGAGTCTCCCGTTTCTCCTCTCCCCTTCTCCCTCATCACACAGGCTCTTGTAGACCTGGTTAATGTGTTATCTGGGTACACAAGTTGACTTGAAAGCCCTCCCTCTTTTCCTTTGCCAGCTTGGTGATGTGGGCACACGTGCCCACTACAACAAAGCTATAAATAGCAGATCATTTGGAAATGATAACGAGGCAGCAATGACAGGAATCGAACTCTGAGAGAATAAAGTGCTTTAGAGGAGGGAGAATATACGAAGTAGAGACCTGAAGTTGGAGAAGAAGAGTAACGCCGGGAGGTTTTCACTGACGCAAGAAAAAACCCAAAGATAATAACACAGCTGTTTACTGGTAACAGTGTAATCCAGATAAGGCCAAAGGGCTTTTTATAGGTTTGATGTTTAGCACTGGAGGAGGAGCAGAGACCAGGTATTTCACATTTTGTAGGAAAGCAATCCAAATCACTTTTTAAATGACCTTCTCCCTGCCCTCTATCCCCCACTAAAACCAAACAAAAATTAGCAAAATAAAGGGGATAAAGAACTATTATTCTAGAAGAGGGGAAAACCGAAAGAACAATTAAATCTGGAAAAATTTTACAATTTATCTTCACAGGTTAATATTTTGATTATATGAAACTAATTGTTATTATAAAAGATTTTATATATATATAAATGGCGATGAGGAATTTCTACTTTGAAAACACCATGTTTGATAGAAATGCTTTATAGAGATCAGACTGAAGATGAAATTCAATGGCAGAGCACACATCGTGAGGCGACCAAGGCTCTGGGTTTGAGTTGCCAGTCACACACACACGTGACACACAAACATACACCACACACATACATACACACAGACACACACATACAAACACACCACACACACATCAGATTATTGGACAGAGTATTCAGAAATCGGTGGATGTCACTTATTGCCTCTCCCCCCTTACTAATGTTTTACTACTAATGTTTAAGGTGGCTAATATTTAAATTATACTATAGTAAGTTCAGTTGCTCTCTACGTTTTTTTATTAATGGGCTGAGATAACTGGAAATGCAAGTTCGCATTTGATTCAGTATACAGAATAGAAAGACAGGCTTTTCTGAAATCTAAGTCAAGTAATGTTGAGAAGATACATAGATTATCCTGTCACCTTGTGCTATATTAGTCTTGTGGTGTACTGTAATGGAATACA